CCTCCCCCCGCAACAAAAAATCCTTGGTGTTCCTCATAAGAAAAAATTATTGTTCCGTGTTCCTCGGTCTTACAAAGTTTAAGAAACACTGATTTAAATAGACACTTTGCTTCAGTGTAGTCTATTACAGTTGGAAGCTTTATACCAGGAGTGGGAAATCTTTTTTCTATCAGGGGCAATTGACCCACAGAAAAAAATCAGTTACGGGGGAGGCCTGTAGGTGGGAAAGGGAGCAGAGTCTCAGGTCTTCTCCTAGGCTCAGACAGTGGGGACAGAAATGGGGGCTCGGTACAGGAAGGAGCTTCAGGCTAGGGCACAGGGTTGGGGTGAGGGCGCCTGCTGAGGGTAGGGGCTCTGGAGTGGAACCAGGAATGGGCCAAGTATTTGGGGTTTCAGGGTTGGGGCCAAGGGTTTGAAGTGCAGGAATGGGATCAGTGCTGGGGCATGGGTTGCAAGATGCAGCTCTCCAGAAAAGTCTGGGTGTGAAAAGTGGCTCAGGGTGCAGGTGGGGGAGAGTTATGGTACAGGATGGAATTACTGACTGACAGGGGAGTTGGGATGCGGGCTCTCATGAGGAGGCATTTACCTCAGGTGGCTCGCAGGTGGCAGTGCAACAGGGCGAAGGCAGGCTCCCTGCCTGCCCCAGCTCTGCACTGCTTCTGGAAGCAGCTGTCTCATGTGGCCCCCAGGCAGAGAGGCGAGGCAGCTCTGTGTGGTTTGAGCTGCCCACACCCACAAGTGCTTCCCTGCAGCTTCTATTGGCCACAACACCTGGCCAGTGAGAGCTGTAGAGCATGCACTGGGGGCAGGACAGGTCAGGGCAAGTGGAGCTTTTCTGATGACCCTGTGCCTAGGGTCTATACGGACATGCCAGTGCTTGTGGCTCCAGCCCCATGGGTGAGTTCCAAGGCACAGGGTTTCTGGTACACAGCATGGAGACTTGCCCCAGGACAGATGAAATGAAGTGGGCCTGATCCAGGCCACAGGTTCCCCACTCTCTGTTTTATGCATACAAAATTCAAGTAGTAGGATATGACAGAGACTAGATATTAGAGGTAATACCTTTTATTGGACCAACTTTTGTTGGTGGAAAGTAGAGGCTTTCATGCTTCACAGAGCTTTTTTAGATCTGGGAGTGTCTAAGCTAAATGCAAGTTGGAACAGGTTGTTCACATATGCTGCAGGAGACCTTTAAAATGAAGTAGGTGAGCTAACCCTTAATTGCCTATCTTGTCTCTCTCATATCTTGGACCTAACAAGACTACAGCAATATTGCAGACAGGTAATAGGATACTGAATTTACTGTATCTGACATAGAATAAATGTTTTCTTTACTTACATTTTAAAAACACTTCTACTGTTAGGTTAGTTTTTTTTAATTTTTGTTTTTGTTTTTTAATTTTTGTTTACAAGGTAAGGGCCTGAGCCTGCAAAAACCTACCTCCATGTTTAACTTTGTGCCTGGCAATAACCTCTGTAAATCTGGTGCAAACCAGATGATGATTTAGTGTGATAAGGCTAAGCATGTGCATAAGTGTTTACAGGATCTAGGTCTAAAATACAGCAATCACTACTATATCCATCTCCAGTTCTGATTGTAACAAGAATATCCCATAATAAAAGGTGATGCTTTGCTAGGAAACCAGAATAGTAGTTCATTTATGTTTTATGTGCATGGGAAATTATACCATCCAAACAAAAAAGACAAGTTTCTATCTTAAGCGTTTTTATAAGTAAATGGTATACGTTGTCCTGACTTCCTTGAGCTCTTGAATTCAGATTTTTATGACTGGAGCAGCTGTGGGAATTTAGGACTAAATATTCTGAAATAGTTCATCATTTTTGAGTGTCCAATTTGAGACACCTGCAGCCTGTGCTGAGCGCCTACAGCTCCCATTGGCCTCACTTGGAGCTGGGGGTGCTCGGCACCCATGGGAATGGAACCCAAGTTTTCTTGGCATTCTTGAATAATACAGGCACTAGTGCCTGGTCAGTAGAGCCTTTATAGAATGGACACACTTTTTAACCTGGGATGGTGTAAGTATGGCTATTAGCCAGGATGGGTAGGAATGGTGTCCCTAGCCTCTGTTTCTCATGTGAGGATTACCTGTTGTGATCCCTTCCTCTGGGGCATCTGGTATTGTCCACTGTTGGCAGACAGGATACTGGGCTAGATTGACCTTTAGTCTGACCCAATATGGCTGTTCTTACATTCTAAGTATATTCAGGGCTTCAGATGAAGATCATGTGGTGGAGCAGTCTTGGTGGAGCACATGTCTGAGGTCAAATTATGGGAGCATGTGATTAGAAATTACTTTTGCTTCATTGTTCAATGTGTACATGCTTAATAAATGTAACTTTATGATCTGTGTTTAGCTGTTGGAACTTGTCTTAGTATTGTGAGATGAGTCTGCAGAACTCTTTTATACTCCCTTCCCAAGCAAACGTAACTCTTCTCCACTGTGACCACCCTGACGTGCAAAGGGCGGGTTTTTGATTCTGGAACGGGATACTTGGGTTGCCTCATAATACAAAGAACTTAGTCATTTCCAACTGCAGAATTTGAGTCCTGCTGCATATGCTAGACCTATGTTCTTGCCAACTCTTAAAAAGGAGCACTGTATGATTCCCACAGTAGCTTTAATCATGTCAGTATTGGAGTTGTGGTTAGAACCTGTATTATGCTGCATCAGATATCCTATCACAATACTGAGCTATCCCTATCTCTCTTATGCCAATGTGGTATTGTCTAGCATCAGAGGAACTAGGTGGGATGAAACTTTTGGTTCCCCTGATGCTATTAGTGGCAACTCAGAGTTGGCACTGCCTCTCACAGCCAAGAATTAGTGTGAGGTCTAACCCATGAACCAAGGAACCTGTGGCCATGCTGTAAGCTGCAGTAGATATATTCCTAAGGAAAATATTTGACAAGCAGTTGTTTATATTTTCAAGAAACTTTGCAGCTAAAAGAATTAACTTTTTTTAATTGAAAGCAAAGATTAGCCTTCGCATTTATAGGTTCCTGAAACTGGGGGTTGGGAAAGGAGATTATAATGATGAGGGGATTTGTGAGACAGTGTTCAGTCATCTGTTACAATGTGTAGTGGCTCAGACCATTCCTCTGATTGCTCTTTACGTGCAAAAATAGTGGAATAATTCACACTGATTGACAGTCTACAAAATAAGATTCTACATGTATTTAAACATCTGAGAAAAACAGAGAACTGTATTTTGAAAGATTTTTGGGATGTAGATTAAAATAATGAGGCAAAGTTGTTTCATCTCTAAATCTCAAGGGACTTGAGTAGCATAATTATCTCCATTTTACAGATGGGGTAACTGAGGCACAGAGCCTTGCCCAGTGTCACTCAGCAATGCAGTGACTGAGCTAGAACAAGAACCCAGGTCTTCTGAGTTTTAGTCTGATGCTCTAGTCATTAGCTCACACATGTAGCTACTAGTTACAGCATGCAGTTAGACCTTGAAGAGTTTTATCACATGAAATTTCCTAGTAATAGGCAGTAACATATGTTTTTGGTAGTCCTTTGATAAGTAACCCTACTTGAAAATTCTACTGATATATAGTCTCAGGGAAAACAGTAAATATGGTGTTGATTTGTCTGTTAACAGTTTCAGCTTTCATTCTGACCATTATAATGGGCATGAGGTTCAAGAGGTCCAAGAAATTAATTCCGGCTGGACTAATAGCTGGTTTAAGGTAGGTGTGTATATCAATCTTCCTACTGCAGTGATTTTAACCTGTTTCAAGTTGTAGCCAGATGACATCTAATCCAAGAAAATGATGATCAATGTTGTTACCATCCAGTGACTGTTGGACAGAATACAAGAAATGCACATGAAGCTCTTAGTCCAGTTTCCACTAGACAGCTTTCCACATCTGGCCACAAAAATCACACATCTGATAGTAACTGAGAACTAGGGATGTGAAAGTGTAACCATGTACACAATTAACCAATAAGCCTGAGGTCATGGATTAACTTTCATGGTTACATGCAGGCTCCTGGTGCATTCGGGGAGCTGGTTTAATAGGTGGCTTCCAGTGCACACCAGCTCCCAATAAGCTGCCTGCCCCCCTCTTCTGCTGATGCTTTTGTATCAGAAGCAGCAGCACAGGAGGGACAGATGGGAGCCAGCTCACTCATATAACCATATAACGTGGTTATTTTCAGCAGTTAGACTTGTACATAATTACTCACATTTTAACATCCCTACTGAGAATCTCAGAAAAGAGGATATTATCAGATGCCAGTACATATTGGCAAAGGCCTTAAAAAGTATCGAGGGTAATTGTACCAAAATTTTAAAATATGGGTACTTAAATTTGGACTCTTACATTCATACTCAGTGACCTGAATAAAAATAGCCCGGCTTTTCATGAGTTCTGAGCAATTTTCATTGGAGTCTATGGAAAATGTAGATACTTTGAAGATAAGGTTACTTTTATTTAGTTGTTTTGTCTTGAGGTAACTAGGTTTGAAAACTTTGGCCAATGTTACTGCAAATCCATGAGTCAACTGTTTCATTACTCTGCTGCTATTCTTTATTTTGACATATCGAGGATATTTTCCATATTTATTTCACAGTTCAGTTCCATTGTAATTCCAAACTTATTCTCTGTAACTCCATCTCTCAAAACATTTTTCAGTTGCAAGTAAGTTGTTTTTCTAACTGTTCCCACTACAAAATGAACTTGAAAATCAATTTTTTTTTCTACATTTTCCCTCATCATCATTATTGAAAGATTTAGCTGTGAGAACTTGTGTTGATGGTACATGAGGTAGAGTAAAAGTTATTTTCCTTTCTTGGACCTGTAGCGTCTGTCTCTAGCTAACAAAGGTACACATCAATCAAATGGTCAGCTTGGTTCTCATGGTAGACACTTCTATGGTGATTCATGGATTTTAAGTCCCAAAGTAAATATTATAATAATTGTCTGACCACTTGCATAATACAAGCCATAGAATTTCATCCAGTAATTCCTGCCATAAACTCTTAACATCTCCAGAGCTAAAGCATTTTCAAGTGATGTAAGAGGCAGAAAAGTATTCAGGTTGTAGGTTGAATTTGCAGGGCAGAAACTTAGAAGTATCCTTTTTACCTTGTGATGGACCGGGCCGGGTCTGGGCACCGCTGAGGGCATCCACTCAAGGCGAATTACTCAAACTCAGGTCTCCTTACACTTCCTGACTGGCAACCTTCCCAGACAGGTCACAAACCAGTCACACCAAGCAAACCCCTCAGACATGCCAGCTCTCCTTGTGCCATAATCAGCCTCAGGCCTTATACACAAGTGAGGGTTTATAGAACCCAATCTCACCTACCCCGAACAGGTCTTTCCAGTCCCAAAGAACCAGCCACAAGATCACGCTGGGCCAATCCTTTAGAATCTAAAATCTAAAGGTTTATTAATAAAAGAAAGAAAAGCATGAGAGCAAGGTTGTTAAGGAGAATACTTTACATGCATCAAATTACCAAGTTCTCAATGCAAGCTCTCAGCAGAGATGATACAAACTGCTATCTTAAAAGTCTCTGGTGTACCTCCATGATTCTTCCTGGCTCTCTGTCCCTCACAAGGCTGCATCTGGGTTCAGGACCAGAATTGTAGACAAGATGGAGTTCACCTCATGGCATTTTATATCCCTCCTGGTGTTGTCCTGGCTAGAGCAGGTTACATGGTTGAGTGACCTACCTCTGTTTCACATGCTGGCAGCCATTATGCCCTGGCTGGTTTGCAGGTATCCAGATTTCCAGACACATTCCTCAGGTGTGTATCGGGCTCTCCGAGAGCCTGGTCCCTAGAGCCTTGTTAATTTGCATAGTCACTGAGGGTATGTCTAGACTACATGGCTCTGGCGACAGAGCCATGTAGATTAGTTTACTAGACATACCCAAATGAAGCGGCAATTTAAATAATCGCCGCTTCATTTAAATTAATATGGCTGCCACGCTGAGCCGATCAGCTGTTTGTCAGCTCAGCGCGCTAGTCTGGGCGCTCCGCGGTTGACATCAAAGGAATTTGTCGACCGCCCCGTTATGCCTCATGGGATGAGGTTTATCGGGGTGGTCGACGAATGACCTTGATGTCAACCGCGGACGACCGCCCCGTTATGCCTCATGGGATGAGGTTTATCGGGGTGGTCGACGAATGACCTTGTTGTCAACCGCGGAGCGTCCAGACTAGCGCACTGAGCTGACAAACAGCTGATCGGCTCAGTACGGCAGCCATTTTAATTTAAATGAAGCAGCGATTATTTAAATCGCTGCTTCATTTGGGTATGTCTAGTAAACTAATCTACATGGCTCTGGCGACAGAGCCATATAGTCTAGACATACCCTGACTGGACATTCCTTCCCGTTGCTCTGTCTCAGACAGAGAATCTTCCAGCATAAGTACAAAGTACATATTTATAACTCCACATACTGATATCATACAAGTACCTGAATAGCATATACAGAATCAGTAGAACATAAGCTTTCATTTGACACCTCACATAGCCCCCTTTGTGTACATACCTTGGGACAAACACCCTCCACCCCATGGGTGCAGCAGTGACCTGTCTGATCCCCTTAAAATCCAGTAATGTGACAGACCTTCTGTAAAAAGAAATTGTATATGGTGTCACTGAGGGCAAGTCTACACTCCCCTTAATTCGAAGTAACAGGCTTGGTAGTATGGATGCTCGTCTTGTTATTTTGAAATAATGGACTTGTTATTTTGAAATAATAATTCCTCTTGTGAAGAGAAATAAGCGTATTTCGAAATAGTTATTTTGGGAGTTATTTCAAAATAACTTATTTTGAAATAACCTGGTAGTGTAGACCTAGCCTGAGAGAATAAATATAGAACTCTAATGTCACTCTTCTGACAATAACTGCATTTCATGCATGCAGGCCAGGACTAAAACAATCCCCTTGGATTAATATTTGTGCAAGGTCTGTATTAATAGAACTCCTTGTATGGCTAAGGCAGCTCATTACAAAAACGAAACATCCTGGACCAAATTCTGCCCTGAGTTCACTGGGGCTACCCAGAGTGCAAGTCAAGTGTCAGACTGTGTTTCAAAATAGAATCATTGCTGGCAACTGTTATTTGACATCTTTGCAAGTGAACTAGTGCAGCTGCAAGCGTATATAGGGAGACACCATGTTCAGCACCTTTTAACTGTTGTAAACGATAGCTCCATTTCAGAGAGCAGTGAGAGCCAAATACCTTTTAAACCAATAGGGTTTAAGACAGAGTATCACTCTTCATTAAATCTTTCTTGTAGCAGCTATGGACTAGGCCTTTTACTGTATTTATTTAAACTGTATGAAGATTATCTTAATTAGAACATGAACTTTATGCCTGGCATGAGCACTTTGGAAGTTATTAACCATGCAAAAGAATTCTGGTAACTGAAACCTCCTAGAACACATTGGAAAAGCAATTCCGTGTTCTTGTTTTCAAAATCTCTCCTTCATATGGATCAAAACTTAAAAGGAGTGTTGTCTCTAACCATGTTAAGTGACAGGAGAATCAGACCCAAAAGGTCTAGAAGATTGTGCATTCTAGAACCCTTAAGTCCTGATTCTCATTAGCGTTACACTGGTGTAATTTCATCGACATCTTCCGAGGTATGCTGGCATAGAACGGGTAAAGGAAGAGGAGAACCAGCCCCTAGAAGTGTTTTAAAAATTCTGAATGATAAGTTCCAGATCCTCTCATTTGTAAATTAATGAAAGGATTTTATGCTATTTGATCATACCCAAACTTGACTGTTTGTTTTTTATTTTTGTGTTGATGCAGCCTTTTGATGATACTGAGATTGGTTTTTCTGCTGCTATAAGAGACAACAGCAACTAAGGACTGAAGTATAAATATTTCCCTTCAGCAAGCAGCCAAGCTCTTTGTACTTGAAATATGTTTCTCTTTTGTATTTTTTCACTGTAAAAGTTAACAAATATACCTGCAATTTAATTCCTCAAAGTTCTCTATGCTGAAAGCTTTTTTTTAAGCAAACAAGGAGGTTTTTGTTTGTTTCTTTCTTTCATCATTGTTTTCATTTAAGCAACTTATTGGCTGGATTTTTTCCCAGAAGTGTGAGAGCATAACAGCACGATAGAAATCAGGTGATGTTAGAAATGTTCTGCACATTTGAAACTCAAGCTATGTATGGATATTTCATTAAGCCAAAAAGTGTGTAGTATTAAAACATAATCTTGTAAGCATCTAACGATAAATAATCAACAGCAGCTCCACATAATGTACAAACTATAGTCTTGTCAATACTGATCATGTAATGCCACACTGTATTTTATCAAAATCACTAACAGATGAAGAGGTATATGCTTGTGTTCTGCATTGCACTGCTAGAATATATTTTGTTTCTAAATATGTAAATATTTCCTTCTACTGGAAATGTAGAATGTACACACCAAATAAAAGATGGACCAATTAAAACAGTTTTTCTTTAATCTTTCATGTTTACTAACAAACTTCAGGGACCATTATTTGAAGTGGCATGCGTGACTGGAAGGGTTTTGATTGAATAACTGTGTAAACATAAGGGTCCAAGTCTACAGAATGTTCTCATCTTCTGTTGAAATGAATGGAAGCTGAATAATGCTGAATATCTAAACAAAATGAGTCCAGTTTGCAGTTGTGATATGAAGCTGACTGTGGAGCAGCATAAGGATTCGTGTCAACTCTTTAGAGTAGCATTTCCTCCAGCTGCAGCTGGATATTTCCAGCAACTAATTTTAGTTGGCATCCGGCTGATCAGGGAGGGCTGCAGCTCTCTCTCTCTCACTTCAGGAGATGACTGACTGGCTTTATCCTAACTCTTCATGGGGCAACTTTGCTACTTACTATGTGACTGTTTGATGACATGGCCAATAACCATATGCCCCCCTTTTTCCCAGACACAGTTAGGGTTTCTAGGAAGGGGAAGGAAGGAAAACTGTTTCTCAGACTGGCTGCGAACAGCTTATAATCAGAACCACTGTGTTTTTAGTTTGTTAGAACAGTGGTTCTCAAACTGAGGGTCAGGACCCCATTTCAGTGAGTTTGCCAGGGCTGGCTTAGACTTGCTGGGGCCCAAGTCCCACTTCTCAGGACCAAAGTCCAAGGGCCTCACTCCTGACTAGTGAGGTTCTAATTACAGGCCCTATGCCTTGGGCTGACCCTGGGGCTTTGGACCCGTTTAGGGCATTGGGGTTTGGGCTGTGGTTCCACCCTGCCCAAGAGCAGCCAGGGCTTCGGGTCTTCCCTGCTAGGGTCATGTAGTAATTTTTATTGTCAGAAGGGCGTCACAGTGCAATGATGTATGAGAACCCCTGGGTTAGAACCCTGGGGCTACGTCTAGACTGCCATGATTTTCCACAAATGCTTTTAACGGAAAAGTTTTTCTGTTAAAAGCATTTGCGGAAAAGAGCATCTGGATTGGCATGTGACTCCTCTCCTGCTATTAGGAGCCTAAGCCAGGTCAGTAATTTCTCAAAAAAACAAACAAAAATAACGTACAGACACACCAGACACCCTAACCTCCACTGCACTTTAGATACTAATCTAAGATCCTTATTTTCAAATCCAAGTTCCTCCTCCTTTGGAGCAAGGACTTAAAGTTGGGTCTCCCACATCCTAGGCAAGTGGCTTAACCACCAAAGTACCATGTCACTCTCCTTCTGACCCAGTGAATATTTACTGAGAGTGGAACAGCTTCAACAAGGAGATAGGATATGGGAGAACTGTGTTCTAGCTCCTGCTCCAAAACAGGTCTCCCACATCCCAAGGGAGTGCCCTGATCCCTGATACTCAGGATCTCCCCATCTTGTAGTATGTTCCTGTCATGACCATGAGAGTTAGCCAGCATCCTGGGAACTAAGGGGTTAACTATGTCCCTTACCTAACCAGGTAGAGGGCAGCCAATACAAATGTACATAGGAATTTCAAACTGGACAAAGGAATTTTTGTTTTTTCCTTCCTTTGTCCCTGGGCAGTTTCTCTCCAGCTACTGAGGGGGACAGACAAAATGTCTTGCTCTAAGGAAAGACTATTCACTAACTGTAAGTAGGCTAAAGTTTAGATAAATCTGTTAGGTTTTATTGTTTTATGCTTTGGGAATGGGAATCTGATGTCTGCCCATTTAAAAATGAGTTTTCCTCTCCATTGTAACTAAGCTCTAGGACCATGGGGGGGGGGGGGGGGGTTCCCATGAGTATATTAATTGGTGACTTTTCCATTTAGTCATTATGCTTGTAACAGGAGTATCGTGGTGAGAATAAAAGTTCTTTCTTGCTCTCTTTTTTTTATTATTATTATTATTAACCTGGTATTGTTTGTTTTTTTCTTTTGTCCTGGTTTTACTTTAGGGGTGAGATTTCCCAAGTGATCTCTTCCCTGGTTTCCTTACCATTACTTGGGTGGTGGCAGCGGATTTTTATCCCCAAAATCTAGGTTTTTAAGATTTTGGGGGGGAAGTTTTATACCAAAGCCTGGAAAAATAAGGTTTTGGGTACTTTTGCGGGCTGCCACTTCTACATTCATTGTGCGAGAGTGGGGAAGAAACCTTGACAGTTCCCAATTAGGTTATTCATGGGCAGGGCTCAACAAGCATTGTAATCTACTCACCTGTGGCGAGTAGATTACACTCCGGAAGAGCCAGTGCAGAGCGATCTGTGCAGAGCGGTGTGTTTGGAGGAGATGTTCTGAATATATAGGTGGGGAACTTGCAGTTTGAGAATCCCAGTAGGGCTTATGGGTTAGTAGGACTTATCCTTGCACCTGCCCAGCAGTGGGCACCTGTGAAACTTTACCAGTTGAAACTTGTTTTAGGGCACCTCCAGGATTAGCCAGCAGCTTTTTTTGGGTGCGGAGGGGAGAGGTTTGAAGGTCTTACACTACTCTGCAGATGTAGTCCATAGTCAATCAGCAAGATTTACCTGTTGTACAATTACAATGTTGGCCCTTGGAGTAGCAAGGAACTAGAAAAAAAAACAGCCAAGTCCCTTTTTTTCCTCATTTTATTTACATAGTAAACTTAGTGGCATGGCCAGTGTATGCAGAGGAAACAGTGTAACCAAGTTCACCAGTCAGATCCAACCTTCTTGGAGACAACCAACAAAGAACTAAACTCAGCCCTTTTACTTTCCCTGCACTTATAAGTCACTGATATTAGCCAACGGTCAACTGTACTTGCTGAAAGGATACTGAGTGCACTCTGAGCTTATCTAAATGGCTTTCAGCACTAGGCCATACACTCATTATTGATGATTGTCAAAGACCCTGAAATCTCATTAGTGGGTTTTTATAGAGAGCAGCTGCCTGCTGGTCGCTCCAGTGTCTGCTCACAGCACAATATATGCATGTGCCTCACTTTCACCTTCACTGGTTCTCAGAAATAATCCGAACAGCCTGAATGAGAATAGCCCCTGCAGGGTCAGTTTACTACAAAGGAAAGTTCCAACACCTCATCCACACGCTCACCTTCAGATGTCACATTGATATGTCTTAATGTGTGTCCCCTCAGCTTTCAGCCCTTTCTGGCTTCAGTTCTTTCACTCAGCATCAGCAAGCATCTTCCTTGGCTGCTCTCAAACCGCAGCCCTCTTTGGTCATAGTCCTCTAGTTCAGGAAGGTCAGCAGGCATCTACCTCTGCTACATCCTGCCTATCATCGGGTTTTTCTTAGAGCACCTTTCTGTTGTACATTCTGTCTCTCCCCTGTGTTCAGATAGCTTTAAAGGGGCATCTGGGCTCTATAGGAAGGAAGGGGCAGGTGATTGATATTTGGAGGTCATCTGATCAAATCTTCCCTCTTCAAGGACTAGTGTAACCCTGTGACAGCAAGGCTGTGTCTAGACTGGCAAGTTTTTCCATAAAAACAGCTGCTTTTGCGGATAAACTTGCCAGCTGTCTACACTGGCTGCTTGAATTTGCGCAAGAACACTGACGATCTAGTGTAAGATTGTCAGCGTTCTTCCACAAATATTATGATGCTCCCATTCGGGGAAAAAGCCCTCTTGCGCAAATGTATTTGCGCAAGAGCGCCAGTGTAGACAGCTCAGGACTGTTTTGTGCAAAAAAGCCCTGATGGCGATCAGGGCTTTCTTGCGCAAAACCGTATCTAGATTGGCATGGACACTTTTCCGCAAAAAGCGTCCGTGCCAATCTAGACGCTCTTTTCTGCAAATGCTTTTAACGGAAAAACTTTTCCGTTAAAAGCATTTGTGGAAAATCATGCCAGTCTAGACGTAGCCCAACTGTTTAGAGACCAGTAGGCATCACATCTCTCTTCCCACCCAACATCTCTTCAAAATGGACAAGCAGTGAGGAACTGAGCTCATTGGTGGCATAGGAAATTGTAACATCCTCCCCTCGCCCACCTTGGCAAGGTGAGGAGTGCAAGAAGATGATATGCACTCATCTTGGGTGGCAATTCCATCACTTATCTACACTTCAAGTTGCTTTATGATGGGTATGAAATCAAGGAATATAGTCTAATGAAGAGCATGATCATGTGTCCATGTCCCTTTGATACTCAGTCATACGATGTATTTAATTACTTTGGCTTGTTAGCAGACAAAACATTTTAAATGAGAGTTTAACCCAAATTCTGAACATTTTAGAGATTTAAATAGTTTTCCATTTCTGCTTACAAAATACCAGTTACTGAAGAGTTCTGAGCACTAATGTAGGCATGATACTACTTTATGCAGCAAGAAGGGTTTTAGAATCTGTGTGAAAAGCTTTCAAGGACACTGGTGACTGGGAGTACCAGTGTGATCAAAATCCAACATCCATTAAATACAAATGGAGGTAGTGTGGTCCAGTGGGAAAAGGAGAGGGACTCAGAAAGGAAAATTCCATTCCTGGACTTAAAGCCATGCAACAATGATCCCATGCCTCAGTTTCCTCGTTTGAAAAATGGGAATGATTGTGTGCACCCACTTTTCTAAAGCACTTCAAAAGGTACATCTGGCTCAATATTAACCTACCATGTATTGTAAATAAATGAACTCCATCAGAAAGTAATGCGTGTTTTATTTCAATAAACTTATCTTCCAATTACTTTTGTCTACAATACATATAACTATAATCTAGTTATAACCACTATAGTGACAATTGTGAAGCGTTGTGTTTCTGCATGCTAGCAATTAACATGTCTTTCTATAAACTTTCAAAATTCAGTTTTATGGATTAAAGACAGAAGAGCCCATTATAATCTAATCCAACTCTTAAATGTAAATGCAACATTTACAGCTATATTAACGATAGCTGAGCTAATATATTGTAGTTGCAGTGATTTTTAGTGCCGATATAGTGATTAGATGTTGAATATTTTCTTCACCTCTGCAATGAACTTGTCGTCTGCTGGTGGTTTCCTTTGGCTACCAGGCTGCAAGAATTTCTTAATTGTGGGGATGTTGCTTATTCTTCCTTTAAAAGCCTAGAATGAGTAGTAATAAAAAATTTTCAGAGTAAGGAAATAATATTCAATTGCATAGATTAAAATGAACAAAGTATTTAACAAAAAAATTCTAATCAGCAAACAATCAAACACACACACAAAATGCAACAATTGTTGGCACTTTATGGCCTGGTCTCCAGAAGAAGCTAGTACTAGCCATAAGATGACAGTTCCTTTTTTGCAACTTCTGAGGTTTCAGAATTTCTTTTGATCCAGATTGTGATGAAATTGTGTTACTGTTTGTTTTCAATTTGGGGAACAAAAGGCTGTGATATCTTGATGATCTAAGCACCAGCCTAAGAACTAGAAACCTATGTTCAAGTCCTTGCTTTGCTTTGAGTTTATCAGACCAAGGACTTTAACTTGAGTCTTTCACATCCCAGACCAATGCATGGGAGAATCTCCCTCTAAAACCAGTTAGTCTTCATCAGAATTAAAATTTCTCTGTTGAGCTTTTCAGCTTCAGTTCAGTTTCTTTTTGCTGAAAATGTTTTGAGCAGCTCTGCTCTTTCCATAGTATAGCCCATTGAGAATAAGGAGAGCTCGGGTGTTGCAGTGGGGCCAAGAGCTTAAACAGCAATACTTTAGATTGCACAAGAGATTCTGAATATAAATGAGTGTTCCTTGGTGGGAGCAATACAGTTACCTTTAACTGAGGGAATGGGGAGAGTATATCAGGCTTGCACTCTTCTGCCATTAAAATGGCTTCAAGCAGATGGACATCCGCCCAGCTAACATGGTTACCCACAAGAAACTCCTGACCATGATCTTTTAAAACCTGTGGAATGTGAGAAAACAGAAAGGTCTTAAGTGTATAAATGAAACTAGCTTATTTTGGTTAGGTATCAGTCTGTTAGTCCAAGCAAGAGGTCTGAGGTGATAAAATAGAAGATTGTGCACAATCAGAATGCAAAGCTATTTAAATTTAAACATGGCCCATGATCCAGCATATAACCTCCTCCTCAGCCATGGAAGCAGTGCAAAGAGAAGAATGGGGCTGTTTTTGGAAGCAGTTACAAAATAGTGGATGTGCACCTGATGTGCTCCAGGCCTTAAGTAAAAAGTGAGACTTCCTGAGTACCCAAATGTTTAAGCTATCACCACAAGAATCTCTGCATGAAGCAAGTTGTATTGCACATCCTCAGCACCCAAGCTGTAGAGGCCCACCCTCTCCTCCATGACCGGAGGTGTGTGCGTCTCTTCTGAGTGTAGGTTTGGTAGTGCTGTCTGATCCAGCTCTGCTACATGCTATAGCTCCGTGTGAGGTTTATTGTGCTACTTACACACTGCTCATTATAATTTCATTACCTGAAATGGGTTGGGAATATAGTCAAGCTCTCCCTCATCTCAGTAAGAACATCACCCATGCTGTAAGCAAGGGAGCACAACAATAGAGCATATTAAAAAAGAGAAACACGTATTATTTAGAGTAGATGCTATTGCTCCGTGTGAGGTTTATTGTGCTAATTACACACTGCTCATTATAATTTCATTACCTGAAATGGGTTGGGAATATAGTCAAGCTCTCCCTCATCTCAGTAAGTACAGTCTCCTTTCTCACATCCTTCCCTTCCTTCCTTTATAACTGAATGACTGTCTAGCAGCTGGATGCAATGCTAACAGCAGATAGTTCAGAAGAAACATGACCCATCTTTAAAGCTACTAAAAGCATTGATTGCAGTTTTTACAAGTTCCTGGATTCCCTCGTTACTTCGCTCCCATTTTCGCTTTACAGGCACCTCTGCATTAGCCAAATAGCCAGGGAAACATGCTGCTGCCTAAGGGAACTGCAGCAGGGTAATCGATCCTTGAGAATCTTGACAAAGCAGTAGCTGATGCAGTATGTACCAGGGGTAGAGACAATAGATGATGTCATAACCTCCTCTGGGCCCTTGAGCCAATCAGTTCAAGGCTGTTTAGGATGCAATTAAGCAGCAAAAGCAGCAGCACCAGAATATCAAGTCCATACTGACTAAGCAAACCCCTGGATTGGGATGCTAGAGTCCATCAGAACCAACCCTCTTGTAGAATCAGCTCTTAGCAGCAGTTGTAAAAAGCTTATCACTGCTAGGCAACTTTATGGATGCTAACATGAACAACTGAATGTTAGAAGTTACTCTACACTAAATAAATAAACAAACCAGTCACTATGAGGGCATCTATTCTGAATAATTAACTGTTCCCTGCCCTGATGGGTACAAGACCAAGTACAATGTATTTCACTTAAAAACTTCACTTTTACTTCACTTAAAAAATTACAAAAATGAGACATAAAAATACAAGTGTCTCACAGCACACAATTACTGAAAATGGCTTAATTTCTTATTTTATAATTATAAAATAAATCAATTGGAATATAAATAGTATACGTACATTTCAGTGTATAGTACACAGAGCAGAATAAACAAATCATTTGCAGGTAATTTTAGTTTGCATGAACTTTGCTAGTGCTTTTATGTAGCCTGTTGTAAAACTAGGCATAAATCTAGATAAATTAATGTACCCCCTGGAAGACCACTGGTTGAAAACAACTGGCTTAAACTACTTTAGAAGAGCTGGATTCTGCCATCCCCACTCACAATGAACTGTGTTGTATTCTGTGGTCCTACAGAGACCAGCAGAGACTCTTCGTGGCAGAATTAGTAACAGGTTGTTGGCTTCCTTTTCACATCATCCTAGGAGGCTCCTCCATGTGGTCCTAGAGTCCTAAAACTCTACCTGCCCTGAGGAGACTCCCTTCTCTGCAAGGGAAATTTCAGCAAACAATGTCAAACTGTTCCTCTCTATGATCTGTGGTGACTGAGCTCTTGCCTGACTTACTTACCTTTTCATAGACTGGGAAGTATCTGGTGGTAGCTCTCTCGATGATTAAGGCTAAATTCTTCTCCTTTGCGTCAGGTGGTTGGAAGGCAAGATACATGATCATTCCCATTAGATCTGTTGTTCCTTCCACATACATATCAATCCTGAAACAAGTATTTTTATTTTCCATTTAGAGGAATCAACATATTTCTGAACACCTATCTTCTGTCCAGTCAGCTTTTATATTTTATTGCAATGTAATGGCAGGAATACTCAAGAGGATAATTCACTTACTGCACTACAACAACATTGATTTGACTGTTTGATCATTACCTATGCTATTAGTAACACATTAGACTAGAATGCCTCTGTCTTTTGCCCTGTGGCAAAAATAGCAATAACTATAGGAAGAGTAATATTAGAAAGCTATCAATGTATGTTAGTTGTACTATTCAAAAGCTGTTACATTCTGAAAGTCAAACAAAATAACAGGAAAAGTTCTTTTCTGTTTTTCAACTAGCTACACTGCTGGTCAAAAGAAACCTTTTTGAATTTTGACCCCAAAAAATGGGCATTTTGGAAGAGGTTTTCAATATTTTGTTTTTTCTCTTTCAACCAGCTCCATTTTTTGCAAGTTGTTTTAGTAGAGGCACCAGTACTATATAACCAGCAAGAGCTCCTCAGAATATTTTGAGACTCATCATCTTAGGTTTTTGATGATAATAATGCTGACAAGGTAGCAATTGCTGACTTACATGATCAGCCCTACTATAGTTAAGGGTAGAATATGGCCTTTTCCTTGTAAAATGAGCACATCTGTTTAGACAAAATTGATACCACAAATAATGAACCCCATAAAAGGATTCCCATTAAGTCAATTTTTAGAGAAAACACCATTAGTATGTTTTCTCAACATTGATGTTTTTGTTGTGACTTTGTTAGGGGAAGTGGAAAAGGCAAAATTCATTGTTCATGCATTAAGCTATAGAACAAACATAGAATCACAGAAGACTAGACCTGGAAGGGACCTTGACAGGTCATCAAGTCCAACCCCCTTGCTCTTACGGCAGGACCAAGCACCGTCTAGACCATCCCTGATTCTGTGAAACTATAACTCTTGTATACAATGAATCTTTGTCTAAGCAACAGGATATCAGAAAATTGTTTTACTTAGGAGACTGTTGTTTGTACATATGAATAAACCATGATCTACAGTAATTTTTAAGCTAACAGAAGTTTCCAGCTGAAAATGACTGTTTTTAAATTGAACTAACAGACATAAAGACACACCAGATTGCCTTCAATGATTAAGTTCTCTGAATTGCTCTAATTAAACGTGAAAGAAATCAAAGTAAGCATATGAGACCTTCATTATTATCCCATCAGGGACTAGTAGTTGCCTTAGTGCTTCTGGTCACTAAGTAACTACTTAGTGCTTCTGGTCACTAAGTAACTGAAGAAACCCTGTGGAGGGCCTTAACAAGATTATCAATTTGTTCACCAAAAGACATAGGAAACAAGCATTTAATAATCTAGCAGATAAACATATAATATGATCCAATGGTTGGAAGTTGAAGCTAAACAAATTCTTACTAGAAATAAGGTGTAAATATTTTAAAAGTGAGAGTAAGTATCAAGTTGTGCATTCTCCATCACTGACATTTTTTTAAAATCAGCACTGGATGTATTTCTAAAGGATGTGTTCTTGGAATTATTTTGGGGAGGGTCAATGCCCTGTGATATATAGGTCAGAAAAGATCATAACAGTTTCATCTGGCCTTGGAATGTATCAATCTATAAGTTAGATAAGGACCACAAATCTAAACTCTGAGTTTGAGACACCGGTGTTTTGACATATTCATAATTTTAACACGCATGCAAGGGTGGAGGTTAAATTTCAAAGCTGATTACTCCTCTATCTATTTCAGGTAAATGTTAAAATAAAGGGTATTGTTAATAAGGATAATACTGTTGCAGTACAGTGCTCTGTCCTTGAGGTCCTTCCCATAGAGGTTGTATTTCCCTGCTATGTAGCTGAGAATGGCTCTGGTCTGCACCATCTTCATCCCATCGATTTCCACCATGGGCACTTGTTGAAACAGGAGATGTCCGTCTTTGGAAAAGAAAAGAAGTTAAGTCACTCAGTCCTCACAAACTGTTGCATCACTGCAAGGCTCTGAGAGAAAAGTCCTTATAACTCACATGGACATCTCCAGTTATATTTGAGAGATTCTAAGCTTCTATTGCCAGAGTGAAGAAATATGGAATACACTTTTCATGCAGGCCACCTCGTAGCAGAGAAGTTGTCTCATGGACAAAACTCTTTTTCCCACTGACAATCCAGATTAAGCCAAACAGAAGAAAGATGTTCTTAAAATGCTACATACTACACTGTAGATAAACTACTTGCACATCTGCCAAAAAATAAGCTTTAGTATTTGTTATACAGTATTGATGTGTCACTATAGTACTTCACTTTTCAATGCTTGCAAATGCCTACCAACAGCATTTTAAATTAGGAAAGTAAATCAAAAGTAAGACCAAAGCAGACTGTGAAGAGCTTCAAAAAGATCTCACCAAACTAAGTGATTGGGCAACAAAATGGCAAATGAAATTTAATGTTGATAAATGTAAAGTAATGCACATTGGAAAAAATAATCCCAACTACAATTGGGATTTGGCTACAACTACTCAAGAGAGAGATCTTGGAGTCATTGTGGATAGTTCTCTGAAAACATCCACTCAGGCTGTGTCTACATTGGCATGATCTTGCGCCAAAGTGGCCGCTTTCGCACAAAAACATGCTGCCTGTCTACACTGGCGGGGAGTTCTTGCGCAAGAACACTGACATTCTAATGTGTGAAATCAGTGCTTCTTGCGCAAGAACTATGATGCTCCCACTCAGCAATAAGCCCTCTTGCACAACTGTTCTTGTGCAAGAGGCCAGTGTAGACAGGTAACATGAATTTCTTGCGCAAGAAAGCCCAATGGCTAAAATGGCCATCGTAGCTTTCTTGTGCAAGAGAGCATCTACACTGGCACGGATGCTCTTGCGCAAAAGCACATCTCTTGTACAAAGACACATGCCAGTGTAGACGCTTTCTTGCACAAATACTTTAACGCAAGAACTCTTGCATTAAAGAGTATTTGTGCAAGATCATGCCAACGGAGACACAGCCTCAGTGTGCAGCAGCGTCAAAAAAGCAAATAGAATGTTAGGAATCATTAAAAAAGGGATAGAGAAGAAGACAGAGAATATCTTATTTCCTCTATCTAAAGTCATGGTATGCCCACATCTTGAATACTGCATACAGATGTGGTTGCCTCATCTCAAAAAAGAAATACTGGCATTAGAAAAGGTTCAGAAAGGGCAACAAAAAGCATTAGGGGTTTGGAGTGGGTCCCACATGAAGAGAGATTAAAAAGACTTGAACTTTTCAGCTTAGAAAAGAGGAGACTAAGGGGGGATAGGATAGATGTCTATCTATAAAATCATACTGGTGGGGAAAAAGGAAGTTATTTACTTATTCTCACAATGTAAGAACTAGGAGTCACCAAATAAAATTAATAGGCAGCAGGCTTAAAACAAACAAAAGGAAGTTTTTCTTCACTCAGCGCATAGTCAACCTGTGGAACTCCTTGCCAGAAGATTTTGTGAAGACTAGGACTTTAACAGGGTTCAAAAAAGAGCTAGATAAATTCATGGAGGCTAGGTCCATCAATTGCTATTAGCCAGGATGGGTAGGAATGGTGTCCCTAGCCTCTATTTGTCTGGAAATGGATGACAGGAGGGGGATCATGTGATGATTACCTGTTGTGTTCCCTCCCGCTGGGACATCTGGTATTGGCTACTGTCAGCAGACAGGATCCTGAGTTAGATGGACCTTTGGTCTGACCCAGTATGGCCATTTTATGTTCTAACATTAAATTATTACACAGGTGGCATGGCCCGGTGTATTGCCACCCTCACTTTTATGCTGCCTCTAGTAGCATGGCTGGGCTGAACATCTGGAGAATGTAGCTACAAAGCCTGTCTGCAAAGATGAAGAGCCCTGGCCAAAGCACACCCGGGCCTACCTGAAGGCTGTTCCTACAGCCAGAGAATGCTCCCCCATCACCCAACCCACACGGCTGTGCCCCTAGCATCCAATTCCCCTTCCCCCCAACACTGGCATGGCACATGTGCCTGCGCTACAGAGACAGGGTGTCTAGTCTAGGGCAGAAAGACCTTCTTGCCCACCATCTGGGACTGCCTCCTCCAGCATCCAGGCCCCTCCAGGCATTTTCCACCACTCCTGAGGGACTAGCCCCCATCCAAGTCTCCCACACTAGGACTGTGCCCCAGTACCTAGCACATTATCCAGAGACTGCTCCCAGCCACCTACACTCTGTCCCCCATGCACCTCCTTGCCTGTACCCTAGCCCCCTGCAGCCTCCTCAGCAAGCCTGAGATCTATCACCTCTGCTACAATGTCGCTCAGCTGTGAAGCCTGCCTTGCCCCTGCAGTCCTAGTGCTGGGGAGCCTGCTCCAGCCAGGGTCACTGAACTCACAATCCTACTTTGGGAAAAGCAGGAGGAGCTGACACTGCTGGTCATGATCTTGCACCATTATTTTAGCACCCTCCCACAGGCTTTGCATCTGGGTCAGGTGCCACTCCTGCCCCATGCTAGTTATGGCATTGAGAATGTTCCCTCAAGTCACAACTGTGTGCTCATTGGGCCACAAGAGGCCTGCAGGTTGAAAACCACTGGTCTAGACCAATGTTCCCTCTAATTGTTTCCATCCATGTGCGGAATTAATTTTGTTATGTGCACCAAGGCATGGCAGATTTACACTTCCGGTAGAAACATATGCTGCTGTCTCTGGGCAGTATGGGCACTCTGCTAATCGGCTGGGCAGCATTTGAATATTTCCTGGGCGGCTGCCCAAGCACTCAGCTTACAGGAAACACTGGTCTAGACACAAATTTGCATCAGTTTAAAAAACACAGCTTTAAGTTAAACTGGAGCAAGTTTGTGTTCAGACTAGACCACAGACTCACCCTTACGTAACTTTTCCAAGTCTTCTTTTGTTTCCACAAACTGTTCTTCAAACTGGAAAACAGAAATAAAGAGGGTTGGACTGTTAAATTTCATGGATCATCAATTAATGGAAATTGCCTTTGGGTATTTTATTTAAAAAGCAGCTGATACCGCAGGGAAAATGTTGAGAAGCTACAAGAAGCAATTCTGCCTTTTATGTTTCTTGCCTTGATGTAAACATTAAAAATAAAATACATTTGATTGAGAATAGACTCTTTGCCCCTACATAACATGTTCTCTTGCAACTTATCTCCCATAGTAACATATATCACTGGAAGTCATAAAGAAGATTTTTCACTTTGTGTTGAGAAAGCCAAAGAGGAAAATGAATTCCTAGGAAATTATAACAATGCTTTCAAGCAAAAAATAAGCACAGAAATTAAGTCATACTAAGCCAGATCTTTGCTTAAGGTCAGTAATAGCATCATAGACTGGAAGGGACCTCCAGAAGTCATCTAGTCCAGTCCCCTGAACTCCTGGCAGGACCAAGCGCTTTCTAGATCATCCCTGGCAGATATTTGTCTAACCTCATAAATATCTCCAGTGATAGAGATTCCACAACCTCCCTAGGCAATTTATTCTAGTAGTTCAACACCCTGTCAGCTAGGAAGTTTTTCCTAATGTCCAACCTAACACTTCTTTGCTACAGTTTAAGCCCACTGCGTCTTGTCTTAGCCTCAGAGGTTAAGAACAATTTTTCCCCTCCTCCTTGTAACAACCTTTAATGTTCTTGAAAATGGTCATCTTCTTCCTTAATTTTCTCTTTTCCAGACCAAACAACCGTAGGTTTGTCCCAATCTTGCCTATATCATGTTTTCTAGACCTTTAATAATTTTTGTTGCTTTTCTTTTGACTTACTCCAATTTGTCCACATCTTTCCTGAAATGTGGTGCCCAGAACTGGACACAATACTCTAGCTGAGGCCTAATTAGCATAGAGTAGAACTGAAGAACTACTTCTCGTGCCTTGCTTATGATGCTCTTTCTAATAAATCCCAAAATGCTGTTTGCTTTTTTTGCCACAGTGTTACCCTGTTGGCTCATATTTAGCTTGTGGTCCACTATGACACCTACATCCCTTTCTGCAACACTCCTTCCTATTCAGTTACTTCCCATTTTGTATGTGTGCCACTTGTTCCTTCCTAAGTGAAATCCTTTCATTTCTCCTTATTAAATTTCATTCTATTGACTTCAGACCATTTCTCCAGATCATTTTGAATTAAGACCCTATCCTCCAAAGCACTTACAAACCTCCCTCTTCCCCAGCTTGGTATCATCCACAAACTGCATAAATGTACTCTCTATGCCATTATCTAAATCACTGATGAAGATCCTGAATAGAACCAGTTCCAGAACTGAGCCCTACAGAACTCCAATCATTATGCTCTTGTGCATGACTGTGAACCACTGATAACTACTCCCTGGAAACAGTTTTTCAACTGGTTTTGCACCCATTTAAATTTTATTTCCCAATCCAAGATCTCTTCCGTTTAATTTTTTGGAAAAGACAACAGCTAAATTCTCCTTGGGAAAAAAAACCCCTGTTATTATAAAAAAATGAAATAAATACATTCTACAGGACACAAAATGCCAGGTTCACTAATATCCTCAATGAATACTATTAGGATCATGTAAATAACATATAAGATAACTTATATGCAGAATTTTCATCCAGGTTCTTGTGACTCTTAAATATACTGACATAATCACTTATGTGTTAGGAGATGATGCTAATAACTAGTCCTTAGTCATATTTTCAAAACAGAGCAGGCATTTCAGCCATTGAGTAATTTGATCATTTTATAAGAAATACAAACCTCAACCCCAGCAGCTGCTAGCAGCCATCGGATAGATTCCATTTTCCCTCTTCCTTTAGTGTAGTGCAGTTTGGGTTTTCCAGCCATGTTTTCAGATTTCTCGTTGCCTGACAAATACAGCAAAGAAAATTATTTTAAAAGGAAGTATTTAATTTCCAGGGAGATTTTGAATTTTACCTGCCAATACAGCCAATATTGCTTGAGATGTATACAAGAAAGAGAGGTAATCATAATCCCCAAATCTGGATTTGACTCATACTTACTGCGTAATGGTTAATGGGTGCACAGAAGCCCTCATTCTCAGCCCACCAGGAACAGCCCCTGCCCGTGGGAGCCAGCATCCTCGGGCAAGGTTGGGACTGCTCCAGCCAGGCGGGAGTGATCCCCCTCCTGGCATTCTGCTTAGTCAGTTAACCAGTTAAAAATTTAACTGGTTAACTGATTAAATGGGATTTTACATTCCTACTTGGGGCGAGGTGAGAAGCATCACTCCATGGCTACTGCAGCTCTAGCGGACACAGCCAGAGGAGGGGTGCATATCCCCCAGCAGGGGCAGGTCCAGGTTTGTCTGCCCTCTTAACTTTCCAGTCAGAGTGAGGAATGCAGCAAACTCTGCACTCTCCTCTTGCACCCTGACAAAAGGGAGCAGCCAGCAATCTTCCCGTATGAACTGGGAGTAGGAGGGAGCTTCTGTCCCTCCCCCGCCCTCCTTACAGTGCGCCTGGGGGGCAATTCCGAAAGGGACAGTACCCCCTTCTCCCAGCGAGCCCCTTTCACTTGCCTCATTATTCTTTTTTCTGTAATATTTTATGAGAAGCAATCCCATGCCATGGACATCCCATTTTCCTGGCACCACAAAATGCTGACCTTGCTTTAAGTTATGATAAGAGGAAGCTGTATACCAATTTGGTGGCCCTACTGTTTAGGAGGAGTTCTTAAACAAATGGACTCACAGCTGGATGGACACACAAACACTCTCAAATACAGATTGTGAATAAGGCAACAGTGACTGTTTTTTATGCGACTGTGACATTTGGGGGTGCAATCTAAACCATTAAGTGGTTATGTCACTGACTGTCCTATAACTCTCAGTGCGTTAAATGCACTGCTGGTGTGGCTCTCAGCCCAGAGAAGCTAGCAGACAAGTAAACTGTCCCCTGAGTGTTTGTGTACGTTGCAGCTCTGATTCAGCACCCTTGGCCCCAGCAGCCTGCCTAGCACACATCAGCCCCATAAGTTAAGTGATACAAAGTAGAAGTACTAAGGGTTAAGGAAGAGTCACAAACAGAAGTAGGAATATGCTTTAAAGACTAAAACTTAATTTCAGCTAGTTACAGCCTTTGCCTAAGCAGGTTTCTCCCTATAATCAATTTCCTGAGACTTCAATCCTCTTGAACCATCTTTTACTCCTGGGGGAATTCTGCACAGCTATGTCTTCCAGAGATTTTTTTGTTTTCAGAGATTTCTTTGCTTTCCTGCAGAAAAAATGACACTTTGTTGGGAAAAACAAAGGGAAGCCACAAGAGCAGTCACATACTCCTCCACAGTAGTACAGACAGTCAGCGACTTACGAACGAGTTATGTACCAAGCACTTGGTCGTAACTCGATCTGTTCGTAAGTCGGACCCCATTCATTTAAATGTGACCGTGCTGTTCGTAAGCGCGGATCGTGTTCATAACTCAGGGACACGCTTAAAGGGAGGTTGGTCGTAAGGATGAATGGTCATAAATCGAAGCATTTGTAACTTGGGGACTACCTGTATAGGTACATCCTTGTGGGCACCCAGAGCAGCCGGCAGAGAGGTAAATCACTGGGGGAGGAAAAGGGGGTTCGGAATGCCTTAACCCAGGCTAGGTCACACCCAATTCTTCATCCACCCAACACCCACACATTTCAATCCTCCCCACCTGATCCTCACTCCCCTGCACCCAGAATGTCCCCACTAAACTTCCCTGCACCAAACTCCCCCCCACCATCTACTGAGCCTCACTCCCTGCACATCCTCCCCCTGTTGAGCCCCAATTCCACTACATCTGGATCCCCAATACCCACACCCACAAGATGGGTCTCACCCTGACACACCTAGAACCTCCCCCAACCGCCAACTGAATTCTGACTCCACCAAGTACCACCCCTTTCACTCCAGCCATCCCCCCCCCCATTGAGCTTCCCTCACTCAAATCCCACCCAGAAGAACCACACCCATTATGCCTCTGGACTACCCTGATGAGCCCTCCACACCTAGACTTCCCACCCCACCAAGCTGCACTCCCCCAGCATAAGACCCCACACACATCAAGCCCCTGCCCTCGATGATTCCCAACCACCTTTGCCTGTACCTACCTCCAAAATCCTATTGTCCCTGCACTGAGCCCCTGTGCTCCTAGACCTCCGTCTAAACCACCCGCACTGATTGCCCCACACAGAACCCTCCCACCTCACATCTGGACTCCACCACACTCGGATCTTTCCAGGCTGAGCCTGTCTGCCCACATCTGGTGCTGTGGGGCATGGCCCCCAGGCTGATTCTGGAGCAGGTCCGGCCCTCGAGCTGTGTCATGGTTAGGTACAAGTCGATGACAAGGGAGCAAAGAGGAGCTTTAGAGAGATCTCCCACCTCCATACAGACAGTGGCCTGTGCTCCACACTGCCAATCTGGAGTCTCCACATTCATGGACAAAATTTTCAGACTGATACAGAATTTTAAAATATTGCATGTAGAATTTTTATTTGAGGGGGGGTAGTCTGAATTCCCTCAGGAACATGACAAGAGTTGTTGACACAGCAGTGAGCCAAAATGGTCATCCATGTTATAACCACACACTAGTGAACAATTTTCTAGATTGAAGGATAACTGTAGAGCTTAAGTATTCAAGGGTATGTCTACACTAGCTCGTTAGTTTGACCTAGGTAGGGTAATGAGGGCAAGCGGAGTTGCAAACGAAGCCCGGGATTTAAATATCCCGGGCTTCATTTGCATGTTCCCGGGCGCCACCATTTTTAAATCCCCCTTAGTCCGAATTCCGTGCCCGCGGCTACACACGGCACGGACTAGGTAGTTCAAATTAAAGATCCTAATTTGAACTACCGTTACTCCTTGTGGAATGAGGACTAACAAGCTAGTGTAGCCGTATCCCAAGAGATCATTTAAATATACTGAAAAAAATAAATTTTCTGTTCAACCTTTAGTGCTCACTTTGGTCTTATAACTAGATCTGTAGGATGTATTAGAATAAACTATTTAGTCCCTCAGGTTCCAGTCAAAGGCCAATCCCCTCATGGGATCTGGACTATTCAGTCTCAGTAACCCAACCAATAAGCCCCCACTTGATGCAACAATATTTAAATGTGGCTTTGAGACTGACTGTAGCCTTTGGACCTTGCCCTGGCTTTAACAACTTCTTTTTCACCAATCTGTTCAACATCTATAGCTAAAGCAAAGGCAGTTGCATGTATGGTCCCCACCATGTCTATAAACACCATGTGGCAGAATACTTAGTAGGACATCTATGCAGGGACAGCTTCACTCACACACTGTGCTCCCTATTCCTCTCACCTCCCATCCTACAGCTCAGCTATCAGTAACTGGCAGCACAGAGCCTGCAATGCATTCAGTAGTTTCCAGTTTTGTTAACAATGCTCATGTCACAACAGCCTTTGCATTCTGCTGAGTCACCTCTGCAAGGACACAAAGGAAAATATTTGAAACCCTTGAGGACCATCAGCCTTAAGGCAAACAACACAATGATTCCCTTGTTAAGAGACAAAGTTTAATTATTTATGGAACAGGTTTTGCAACTTTTTAAAAATCTCTTATCATAGCTCAAAGGTTAACTCTTTGGCAGATAATCAGAAAAACACCAGTGAAATGGAGGCCATGAACAAGAGAGCTTGCCATTAGAGTGGTGGGGTATGTTGCATCATTAGCTGTCTCTACCCAAGTCTCCCCCCGGGATGGTTTCCTCCGCAAGGCTCAAATTAAGTGACTCCTGCAATCACTATCAAGTTTTGCATTGAGTAAAGACAACAGAATTTGGTCCAGTCTCTCTCTCTCAGCCCTATTTTGTTCTTTTCATTCTGCTTTCAGGGATGGCAGGTTTGCAGAAATTGTGATGGTGTTCAGAATGCCCAAAGCTCATACCCCAACCTCCCTCCCCGACCTCCTACCCCCTACCTACCTATGGTCTCTGAGAGGGAGCTTGCGTGCTGGGTGCAGGCTCTGGGATCGGGCAGGGTATTGGGGGCAGGAGGAGAGACTCAGCCCCAAACTTTGGTGGAGCTGCGCCCCGGTCAGGAATATTCCTGGTTCCCGGGCATCATGGGCTCATAAACTCATCACCAATGTCTGTCTGCTTTCTGTCTTTTCCTCTGCTGACCCCCTTTTTACCTTTTCCCTAACAGCCTGCCTTCTCCCTTCCCCCAACATTGCTTCTTCCCTAGTACCTCTCCAAAGCCCCTGACCCAGCCTCCTTCTACACTCAAGACTTCAATGAGAAATAAACTGAAGCTACCACTCAGCAAACTGAACTTGTCCACTTAGCTCTGCCCCTCCATCTGCTCAAATTTGATCAGCAAATGCATTCTAGGGCACATTAATTTCACTCCCCCTTTCCCAGGAGTAGAGAAGGGAAAGTCAAACTAACACTTAGACACAAGAGTTTGTTAATACCAGCTGGCTGCTCCACTCAAAACATCTGGAGAGCGAAGAAGAGCAGTAGCAAAGAAATTTGAGGTGAAAAAGAAGTGCCCAACCCAGTTGCAGGGGGAAAACAACCTGGATATGAGTTTATTTGCAAGGGGCCCATGTCACAGCTGCTCTGAAACACAGGGGAATGGTGTAAGTGGGCTGGGGGGACTACTTGAGTTCCCTGCTCACCCCATGCTCCCTGCAGCACTTCTGCCTTTGAAACATAGCAAGAACTGGCAGGGCTCTTGCTACATTTCAAAGGTGGAGGTGCCCTCCTCGACTAATTGAGAAGAGGATGGAAATTCCATCCACTATTCAGTTAGTTGATTAATCTGCATTTAACAGCCCTACACTGGACCAGTGTATGTAACTTGCATCTGCTGGGACAGACCAGCAGGGTTTGGCTCCAAAAACAGCAT